CTGGTCCACTTCCAGTCCCCCAGCAGTGTTCCAATCCGGTAACATCGTTCCCCTTATCTTTCCCTCTACTCCATTGAGGGCAATGTCGTGCTTAAGTGTGGGGGGGTGCTTTGTATCGGTTGGAATATTTATTTGGGTGCTTGGATCCTAGTCCGCTGTCCGAATCTTACGATTTGAGGGATCCAAGTACTGATGTTTGATCATATTGGCACTGTGTTTTGATGGATGAATTGATTGGTTTTCGGATTAATGCATGACAACTTGTTTGCGACTAGGACAACCTATGATGAGGACTGAGATGTGCAGTAGAACGATGTAGGGGTTCAGTTTTTCAACTGTTTGCTTGCCAAATGTGACTTGATCTGATTACGTGTTCTTGACAGTCGTTTATGCATCTAGTTCAGGGTATCAGAATGTGAGATAGAGCATATAGGTAGCCATGTGAGATTTGAGTCTGCTCGTTTCTTTCTTGTGCGATAGATCCCTCTTCCATGATGTGTAGCATTCACGTTGTCACTAGCTAAGATGATGGGGGCATAGGATTAGCCCACGCCCAAAACTGACTGTCCTGATGTGTCATATCCCCTAGTCAGCCCCTTTGAGCCGTGTGTTATCCTTTCTTTTGGTCTATAACGAAAAAAATCACCCTTGTTGCATCTTTTAGAAGGTTCCACAGAGTGGTTTTTACATATTCTCTGCTGTTTCTGCTAAAGTTTATGTGAGTGTTGGAGGTAGTGCTTAAAAGTTGGGCAGATGTTTGAAATATGTGCGGAAGTGGTGGCTCTCTTAAGAAATGAAAAGAAAAATGAAAGAAAAACAAAGAAAAATTGAAAGCAAAAGAGAGCCACTACCAAAAATCTGAATAATGCCCATTAAGTAGTGTTTCTTAGCAGTCTGGCTTGGAAATGCTGATGTTTATGCCTCCTTCGCTCTTGTGCTCTTGAGATATTGAGTAATGCAGAATAGCAGAAAGAAAATACCGGTTTGTTTGACTGTGATTGTGTGTTTGGAAAATGTGGAACCTTTTGCTATGAATACTTCCACCACCTAAAAGGCTTTTTCCCCATGTCCAAGACCCTAGCCAGTCATTTGAACCTGTGTCTAAGACCTCCTGATTAGTTAGTGGTGACACCCCATATGTGAACTCTAGCATTTAGAGGCTGCCATCATGGTGAAGAGATGATAGGGATTGAGAGAAATAGCATGCGCATCTTTCGCATCAAATTGTCCTGACCCCACTGGTCGAGAGTGAGTGATTCATTTTCATTTTCTATATGCTCTTGTACCCCGGTGAGGACCTAGATTGCTCGGTCTCTATTCTGATGTCTTGAGTTGGATGCATGAGTTGACTGTTTTGAGTAAGTGGTTGAATCAAGTCTAGGTTGGCCAGTGAACAGAAGGGAGACTCTTCCTCTACTCGATTTGCTGCACTCGAATGTCCTTTGTGGTGGTTGTCCAGGTTGTTATTGAGGTTGTTCATGTATTGATGTTTGAAAACCAGTGCGATTCACGTGTTCTGTGCCTTTATGACTTGTCCCCAATGTTGGTTGATTGAAATATGTAAGCTTACCTGGTGTCTGACTTGGTTTGCTTGGGGACAAGCAAACGGTTAAGTGTGGGGGAGTTTGATAGACCGTTATTTACACATGTTTTTACCCTCGTTCTTACACCGTTTGAGGTGTCGATTCTCGTGTTTTAGGCCGATTTCACGCTAGGTTGTGCTTGTTTGTGATATTTCAGGTCCAAGTACGTGAATGGAGGCTTGGGAGCGAGTCTGGGGTCGATTGGACGAAGATCGGACGAATGGCGAGATTTCAAGGAAGCTGCACGGGCAGACCATGGCATCACACGGCCGTGCGAAGGACAATCCAGGCCGTGCGGAATTGTGCGAGAGCATGCACGGGCAGGCCAGAATTCTCACACGGCCGTGCCATCGTGCAACCCTGGCCGTGTGAGATGGCTGAAGATCGATTAAACGACACGCTGCGTTTTGAGTCGCACGCCCAAAGTGGTGATCTGCACGGCCGTGCGGCCTGGCCGTGCGAGTCGGGAAATCCTGATTTTAGAGCCTATTCCGAGGCAAAAGGGAGGGAATCGTGTTTTCAGAGCAAAAAGAGAGCCCTAGAGAGAGAAAGTACGAAGAACACATCCTAGAAGCTATCTTAGAGCTGGATTTCATCGAATCGAGCTTGGAGATCGTCATAGGAGTGGAAATCATCGTCCCGGAGCAGATTTTCCTCATCGTTATGAGTATGACTAATCCGATTACTGTTTTCTCTTCTCTCTCTATGGAGTAGAACCCTTCTCTCACTTGGGTATGAAGAACCCTAGTTCCTTGTGTTAGGGATTTGATTGTAATGACTTGGGATGATATTACTGTTTGATTTTAATCGAATGATGCATGTTTATTGAATTGATTTGAGTCTGATCAGCTTTTCTCAATTTCTGCTGCAACCTGAGATAGATAGAATCTGATTAGGTTGTTAGAGCCTCTTCATTCGATAGTAGGAGATTGGCTATACGAGAGTTAGCCAGTTTACTGCTTTGTACTGGAATTCAATTCCAGTAGTGGAGTTCTGTGTTCATAGCCTCAGCTTTCTATCCCGGTGAAGACTAGTCGTCTGCCGGGTAGTTAGACTGAGAGGGCTTGGTCAGCTTAAGAGATTCCAAGCTACTGTCGGATCTTCCGCAGTCTAATCAACAGTAAATCAACCCAGGGAATTACAATTGAACCTAACTAAGGGGCTAGGGGGACTCAATCCCGAGTGACTCTTTCTTGACTTTGAAAACCGAACAATTTACTGCTTTCTTGTTGCTTTTACTTTTAACAACAATCACTCGAACTAGTTTGCTAGATAATAGAGAATCACGGAGTAATCAGTAGATCTAGACCCCGGGTTGATAATTGAACTTGCCTGTTACTGCATTCCCGGACTGCGATTACACTTGGTCGCAGTTTGATGTTGTGTTTTGGCGTGTCAGGGGGATTGTTGGAAATATGTATGAATAGCTTTGAAAGCTATAGAGTCTCAAGTGGAAAAACTACCACATTGGTAGTTTTACTTGGTGAAATGTGTATAAAGATAGGAGCCTCTCTCCTAAGGGCATGCCCCTTGGGGTGACCCACTTTTGTGGGAGAGGGAGGACCTAACGGACCACCATACACACGCGCGTCGTCGATTTGTTGGTTCACTTGAGACTATATACATATTTTTTGGAGAAATTCCGAACGAAATTAATTATCTAATAATTAATTATTAATCGGTTATTCTGAGGAATATTCTAAGGATAATCGATTAAAAAGGAATATTCGAAGGATAATCCTGCAGGATTCATCTTAACCGACGGTTTTAATTAAGGAAGTAATTATCTTCCTTACTTAATCCGACTTATTCCCCAAGCAAGAGGGTATATTCCTAGGGGTTCAGCTCCTATAAATAGCCGCCTCCCCAGCCCCTCTAAAGACACCACAACGAGCATAAACAGAATAGAGAGAGTGTTCAGAGAGCTCCGGTTTTCGCACAAAACCGCGAGTACACAAAGGAGTTATTTTATCCTGGAGACGACCGCTTGATAGTCTGTCGTGCGCATCGAGGGCAGTGCCGCGAACGTCTTAAAGAGAGTGACCTAGTCCGCGACTCAGCTCCAGATTCGGTAACCTAGTTCTTGTTGTTGTTCCGTTCCTAACAACAATTAATCTGATCTAACTGTGTAAAAGAATTAAATTTCGATTTAAAACGAGTGAGAAATCGTCCGTCAAAGATTTATGAGGGGAAATTAAAAGCTTTCCAGGAGAGAGAGGGATGCTGATGTCATACTGATGTGGACGGGTTAGTCATAATTACTCGGCATAAGATTACGGCTCAAGATAGGGTAAGTAACATTAGGGTGAGTAACAATGAGTAACCAAATCTGGACCCTTCTTTTAAGTGACTGCAGATCTAAGGGTGGAGAATTAAAGACATTTATTTTCCCTAGTTTTCTTTATTGGATCATATCTTCTTCGTTCTAACTCGGATTTCAAATTATTTTTTTTTTGCACAGATGGAACGAGTTCGTTGTGCTCTACAAAATGATATCCATTTTCAATATTTTTTGAGAAAAAAAAAAATTGCATCCCTCTCGTTACCAACTCCATACCATATGGTATCTCCTTCTTTGTTTAGTCATTTTCGAAAATTTTTGCACAAAAAGAACGATTTAATCACGATCTATTGGATTTCAGAATTTTCTGGGGGAAAAAATTTCAATCCTCTCGTTACCAACTCCATACCATACTATACCACTCTGGTATGAGGTGGTATTTTTCATACCATATGATATGTTGTTATTTAATACCATATGGTATTGACTGGTATTAAATAACAGCATATGATATTGGCTGGTATTTTTCATACCATATGGTATGTTGTTATTTAATATCAGTCAATACCATATGGTATTGACTTATACCATATGGTATAGACTGGTAATAACTGACAAATTTTGTTTGTTCCAAAAAATATCAAAGTGGATATCATTTTGAAGAGCACAATTAATCTGATCTAACTGTGCAAAAAAAATTAAATTCCGAGTTAAAACGAGTGAGAAATCGTCCGTTAAAGATTAAGGGAAAGAAAATTAATAATTTTTTCAGGAGAGAGAAGGAGGCGCTGATATGGCAAATTCTTATTGGGTTATGCATTGGGTTACTCACTATAAGGTTACTCATCGGATCTGCTCCCTAAGATTACTGATCTGATCCGTTCCAAAAAGAGTATCTTACTAAAACCATTCGTTGGATTAAAAACAAAATTAATGAAGAATGATTAGAGGTGTTAACCGACTAATGGTCATGTAACCGCTGAATGGAGACGAGAGGTAGAAAGAAAGGAGGGAGCTTATCATGCTCTTCAATTTGATCTACGACTACGAGAGACCAAGGAGAGAATTGGTGTCATTTCACGTTTAAGGACTTGGTGAGTTGGTGGCCCTCGTCCATCGTGCGAAACCCTCAGCTGCGGTGCTACGTTTCACGTTTACTTAGGTTAGGTGGCCTAGGTAAGAGATTAACCAACAATAATTTTGTAAATTACTCGTTAACCCCCGCATTACGGCATCACTACGCACAATTATACAACAAGAATTATCTGATTATTAATTACTTGATTGTAGTATCTCACCGCCCAATATCCTTATCTAGGGTTTCGGCCCATCTGTTCCTCCAAAATTTGACCATCCCTCACCGGAAAGAGAATCTTTCCTCCTCTTTTGGAAGGAAGCCCTTCCTATCTGCTTTTCCTTTTTCATTGCCGGGAATGATGGATGGATGGATGGAACGACCGACCGACCACCAATTCATCATGGCTGATGCTATGCTGGTTCCTTGTGGAACAAGTCTTCCCTTACCGCGTCGGAAAGAAACGGTTCCTTCTGCAATCACTTGGTAATGCACTGAATGTCGGCATGCTCTCTCAACCATTCCAGCACTTTAGCTCCTTCTAGTATCTCCTGAACCTGCGTCCCATTGCAAACAATTTGTCATTCACAACTATTACAGTCTCCTCCATCACCGCTTACAGAAGACAATCAGTATAAGATCGCCTTGTTGCAAAACTAACTACATCGGCAGTAAAACGTAGCATCTTATTGGGATGTATTCCCTGCAAGCTGTATCCAAAAGTATTATGAGGGCAGAAACAGTGAGAAGTGGAGAAAAGGAGAGGACGGACCTGTTCCTTCACACGGTCCTCATCGTATTCTTGTTGAGTACGTTTGAACTCAGCTATAGAGTTTTCAACCTCTTTCAGCAGTTCTTCCGTTGCAAACTGTGGCCAGTTGAATGAATGGATATTGAATCAGTGATATCAGAGGACGGGTGGATAAATACAGTTCGGGCGAATATATGATAACGTTTTACCTCCAGTTTTTCTCGTTTGAAGATATCCCCAACTGCCAGATTTTGTTTTATCACTCTGGTTATGTTCTCCTTCTGGCCTTCCAGGTACTCATTTACTGCCCTAGGACTTGACAGCCTAGCCAACTGCTCTTCATTAAGTTTCATATTTGCCTGCACCAAAAGAAATGAATCAATGATGACAATTGCCACATTTCTCTCAACTCTCTCTTTCTCTCACTATTTAGACCGCATCAACACCAGCATAACAACAGGACCCACCTGGATCTGGAGAAGTTTGGCTCCATAAAGTTGTCTACCTTGTTCCTCGAATAAGGACTTGGGAATATCAACCTCTACCATCTGATCATTTTGGTACAACAAACAACAGGCAAATAAGCAAAAAATGTAGGACCATTTTAAAGACCAACAGACTGAAAGTATTGCCTCGTGCATGAAGGACCACAGAGCACAAATGTTATCAGTAGAAAGACGCAAAAATCCATTCAGCTATGTATCACCAACAGGTCTTGCTAAGTTTACAAAGGATGAACTAACCTTACAAAGCTGGTCAAGAATTGCATTATCAGTTGCTTGCTCTCTTGCTGTTTGCTCAACTTCCAGGCACTTCTCCAACAACAAATCCTTGACCTATACATGGTTGAATGAGGATTTTTTAGCCTGGGCTGCATGTAGGTTTTAAGGTTCTAGGTTGTGAATGAAGTTAAAGGCAATGTGAGGGAAAACACCTGTTGTATAGAGGTGCATCCAGGAACAAGTTTCTCAGCAAGAGAATCATCCAACTGTGGCAAATCCCTATAAAATAATTCCTTGCATTCAACCTAGAATAGTACAGCAACCAAAATAACTTATATTAATATTGCTGGTTTATCATCTTATGACTTCATGTACCCAAGATCTTATACTTCCAATTCTAATGATTGGAGCTATGAGTTTAAGCAGAAAGAAACTTACAGAAAATTCCGCATGAACACCACGAAGATTTTCTTGTCTCCATGTTTCAGGAAACGCAAGTGGAAAAGACTTTACTTCACCTGGTCGAATCCCTATTATTGAATTAAGAAATCCTGGGAGTACTTTGTCACCATCCTCTGTATCAAAATTGAATCCTGGGAGCACAGAAGTATTACATTTACTCAATCTATCCCAAAGAAGCCATCTTCCACAAGAAACTTGCGATTCTTAATTTTGTGCCTCCAGAATACCAACATCAATTACGCCATCCATGTATGAGTTGCTATCATATTGATTATGCACATCCATCACAGGTAAATTGTTACTGCATCACCTAGAAACTAAGTACAGAACATAATTGAGGATACATTGACAGACCTTTACTCTCAGCATCTGGAATACTGTCCGATCCTTCACTCTCAAGTCTTTTTGCTGATATATCAAGCACCGCAACATCACCAATCTGCAGAATTCAATTCAAATTTCAATCTGGCAAGGGAATGGATGACTTAATGCAACAAAATCATTTCAAGTTCGCATTCCTCCAAGTTCCAAAAGTTGCCTCATCTATAGTAAGTAGTGATAAGCAGGTATGAAAAGCAAGCCCTAATCCTCAATTAGATACAATCATTGGTTACAACTGCTAATAGATAAATCTTTTAATGCACGTATAATAAACATACAGGAGGTGCAGAAATTCAACTAATCACATATAGTAGAAGATCAAATATTGCAAAACTGCATAAAGTTGTTTCACAAGAACTACATTTCATAATAGAAATTATTTCCTATTGCATTAAATTTGGAGACCTATCAGGCTATCACGACTTCACGGAGGGAGATAAATAAATTTTCGCCAACTGGAAACACCACAAAATGGACATCTTGTCCAGCAATAAACGAACAAAAGGACTTCAACCTAAAGACCCAGAGGAAAGAAATAGAGAACACAGATTCCCAAACGCTTACCTGCAGTCCTCTGTCAGTTACAATTCTCATAGCACCAAGGGACTTGTGACGACGTCTAAATTCCTGTTCAGAAGCTACCTGTGCATCTATATCACTGTCTATCTCCACAACAACCTTCAATTGTTTGTATCCATCCTCAGGGACCCATTTGAGTTCAGGAGCCACATCAACAATGATATCATATCTGCGCAAAAAATTTAACTTCTAGTCACCACTCACACAATTGCATTCTAGACTTTACTAGTGACTAAGATGAACACAAGCTTAAACTGCATGTGGATGGGGAATGCATCAATGCAACTTCGAAGGTACAACTGAGACAAACCTAAGGATGTTAAGAGATGAATAAGTCTTCTCCATCTCAGAGTAATTGGTCGCAATGCGAACTGAATCTTTCAAAGCCCTTTCATTCACCTAATTCAGAAAAAAGGTAAAAGAGAATTCCCAGGTCAAAACAACAGGAATGCCCGTCATTCGTATATAACTTCCAAGTGTGAAGAAGCCATAAGTGATGAAATCAATACCGAAGCCAGTGCATGAGGGAGAGTCCTCTGCAAGATAGACTCAACAGCAGCCTTCTGAACACTTTGCCTGCCGACGTAATTCACAAGAACACCCTCCGGAACATTCTTTCCAGGACGAAACCCTGGCACCTAGTTCATCCAGGAATCGAATTCGTCAGTGCCAGAATAATTCTACACGAACCGCAACGGGGAAGAAAGAACCACCCACCTTCGCCTGCTTCATGAACTCCCTGATGACTCTCTTGTAGCAATCCTCGCAAACTTCTGGCGGAACTTCCACGCCCAACCTCACCTATTCATCCAGAGAGAATCAAATTAACAAAACTCGAGCGTAATCACAGCCGCATAAGAAGAAGAAGAAGAAGAAGAAGAAGAAGAAGAAGAAGAAAACGAAAGCCACGAGCTCAATTACTCACTCTTGAATTAGGCTCCTCGGTCTCCGTCACTCTGAGCTCGGCAGGGAGAGTGTCCTTCTCTTCTTCAACTGCTACGGAAGTAGAAGCAGCAGCAGCAAGTTTCCATGGGCATTGCCTTAACCCAGACTGAATTTCTCGGAAACTGTAGGACGGTTCCCGATAGTTTAAGAAGCAATTACTTCTCTTATTCAGCTGGAGAAAAGGAAGCCGGAGTGAAGCAGATGGAGAACTGTAGAAGCGAAATTCTCCGCACGGACGGCTTGCAGGTAGAAGTCTCGTCGCCGTCGTCGAACTGATACAGAGCTCCATGGCTGCTCTCCTTCTATCTGCAAGACTGCAACTGACACGGAAATGGATATGGCGAAAGCTGAAGAGTCAAAAAGAAAAGAAAAATACAATTATCAGAAATTCGAAAATTATCTTCTCTTAACGCTGGTTTGGCTTCTAAACGACGCGCGTTAGGCAGACAACGCTGCGTTTGGCTTCGAAACGACGGGCGTTAGGCGGACGTTTCCCGGGTTATTAATCAAAATGAACAGATCTTTGATTCCGCGAAAACAGCCGCAAAGATACAAAATTAGGGATGCAATTAATCAAAACTTGAAATATAAGGATTCATTTAGTAATACTAAGAAAATATGCGTATAAAAGTGAGTTTTTTGCCCTTTCTTTTAGGTATGAAAATGAGAGCCGAGTTTAAACCCAGGTTGCGTTAGGCTAATTAATAAACGAGTCAAACTCGAGCTCCCCTTATTTATTAAAGAGTCGAGTCGAGTCGAGTTTGAGCTAGCTTGTTTACTAAAATCTTGACTTTTATTTGGTACTTCATTTTGTATATCAGGATACATATGATTTATTTTGTTAGCTAATCTCATTTTTTTTTTGTTAATCAAAATTGTATTGAAGCCCGGAAAGGTACAACTCGCATCCTCCATCTCAAAATGTCAACCCATTACAACGGTAATAAAATTATATACTAACAAGAAATCAAAGTAGAAAGTCAAAATCTATATACTCTCAATACTTCAATAACCATCTACTGTAGAGAAATCGTACTACTTGAGAATATTTGGAGATCTTGCACTACTTTCGCTGAGATTTGAATGGAATCAGAAACTCTCCTGGCAACATATATGCGAGTACATCGTTATCACCATATATATGCACAACTCATCGTCCACAGCAGCCTGCCAACTTTAGGGTTTGAAGTATCCATGCGGTCGCCCATTGATCAGGACTGAGAAGCTAACAGTGGAGATGCAAGTCTGTACCCAACGTAGCCACTCCGAGCAGAATCCTAGGCTGTCCATGATCTGTAAGAGGAAAGACCATTCGACGCGGTCGTATGCCTTCTCCATGTCTAGTTTTACAGCCATCCATTTCTCACGACCCTGCACTTTAGTTTTCAAGAATTGCATAACTTCTTGCCCGATTAAGATATTGTCAGAGATCAGCCTACCTCTAACAAACCCATTTTGAGAAGAACTAACAATGTGAGGAAGGATACTCCCTAACCTAGCCGCCATGATCTTAGCCAAAATTTTATAAAAAAACCTGACATAAGCCAATCGGTCTAAGTTGGCGCATCGAATCAGCATTAGTTACCTTTGGCAGCAGTGAAATCAGGGTATGATTAAAATTGTGCAGCAGCCTACCAGTCCGGAAAAAGGTATGCACCGCAGCACTAATGTCCGGTCCAACAATGTCCCAATGAGCGTGGAAAAATCCGGCGGTGAAGCCATCAGAACCGGGTGCTTGAGACGCCCCAATGCGAAACACGGCTTCCTTGATCTCCAAATCAGTCACTGGTGCAACTAACATAGCATTCATCTGGCTCGTAACCTTCCGTTGCAAGCCTAAGTCTGCGACAAACTGAGCCGTATCCACATTCGAAGAAGTGAATAATACCTGGAAATAGGGTACAGCAATACTCCCCATACCCTCCTCATCGTGGTGAATCACCCCCGTGTCGTCTTTTAGCCCCGATAGCCGGTTGTACCGTCGTCGTTGCATCACAGCACGATGAAACAAATTCGTGTTGGAGTCCCCCTCTCTCAGCCACCCAACACGATACTTCTGTCGCCAGAAGAGTTCCTCCTGAACATACGCCGCTGCCAGCTCTATCTCGAGGTTCTGAATCACGGCCCAATCCACGGTAACCTCCCCTCTGGCCTCCTCAAACGCATCCTTCAACTCTCTTATTTTCCTGGCTGAATTGGACGTCCCTAAGCGCGCCCACTCAACCAAGTCATGCCTTACCAGTTTAAGTAAGGTATATACTTTAAATTGAATGGTGCCCCGAACCTGCTTCACCCATGCAGCTTTGATTACTTCCAATGCTTCGGGGTTGGTGATCCAGCGGCAGTCAAATTGAAACCGCGTATGAGGAAGAGGACCTTGTTTGACTAGCTGCACAAGTAACATTCTATGGTCAGACCCCAAATCAGTAAGATGAATTACCTTAACATCAGGCCACTCTGCAAGAGCCGCCGTGTCACTAAGGCATCGGTCTAGTCTCTCCATAATATGTGCACTACCCGATCTCCGGTTGGTCCAAGTGAATGGTGACCCCTGGAAACCTAAGTCTAACAGATTAGCATGGGTGATGAAGGCATTGAGTTGATCCAACGCACCAAACGAGAGGGGGTTCCCTCCTACCTTTTCTGAGGAGGACAGCAAACAGTTAAAATCGCCAACCACAAAAACAGGAAGAGACACCGACGAAACGAAACCAATAATCTCATTAAACTGCTGCTGGCGACAGGCAACATCACATGACATATGTACAAAGAGGATGACCAGTCGCCCTACTAGCGGTAAACTGACCTCAACAAAACAAAGAAATGAGGATAGGTGGTGAACTGTACATACTACTTGATCCAACCAAGCTACAGCTAACCCTCCACTACCATTTGACGCACTAAAGCAGCGAACAGATCGAAACCCAAGACTCGAAAACTTCGCCAACACAAACTCATCGTCTCTCTTTGTTTCACTAAGGAATACCAATGAAGGACGAAACCGTGCAATTGCTCCACCAAGTGAGGGAATGGTCAAGGGGGAGCCCATCCCTCGACAGTTCCACACCATGAAACTCATGGATCCGCTGGGGGCCAGTTGAGGCTGGCGCCCGCCACCTTGTCAGATACTGGAGCAGAGGAAGTGTCCGAAACCGTCCCAAATCGGAGGCGCTTGGCTGCCGATTGCGGGGAAACAGGGGAAGAATCCACGATGGGAAGCTTGCTGCTCCCATCTGTGATGTGACCATCTCTGGCCAGATGAGCATGAGAATCAGTCGAGGGGTGGAGGAGCGAGAGGGACTGAAATCGAGACCCCATGATCCCCGCCCCCGGACGCCGGGAATCTTCCCAAGTACCCCCTGGCCCGAAAGCAGTATCATCAGCCCTGTGAGCAAGGGACAGAGGCGGTGCTGGGACACGGAAACTACCTCCCCGACGAGGCTTGCTCTGATTGCGGAAGTTCGCCCGGATCCAGGTGTACCGGCGGCGCCGCCTTGCAAGCATGGCTTCAGTAACTTGGGGACCCGACTCAGTGGCCATGGTGAATTTGCCATACTTCTCCGGCGAGGCTCCAAGTTCTTCCTTACGAGGACAGGCATCCTTCACATGCCCAATCACACCACAAAGGAAGCAGAAGTGAGGAACTAATTCGAACTTGATTTTAGCAGAGAAGGTACCTTTCTGTGGGTCGATATGTCCAGGGGAGATCGAGTCCGGCAGTGGTTCCAACAGATTCAGCACAAGCTCTGCCCTGACGTATAACCCACCCGAGACATCAGACCGGTGCAGAGTAGGGGTGACGGTTTCCCCCAAAGCAGAACCCAACCGGAGAGCCATTTTGTTGGTGAAGCAATCGAAGGGAACCCCCCAGATATGAACAGCAAGGGGAGCCCGACGCAGGTTTCCAATCACTTCCTCCGATGGCGCCGCCCAGGGTTGTAAAGTCAGCATATACTTGTCAAAGATCCATGGGCCAGCCGAAACCGCCGCCTGTAAATCCGATTGAAGGGAGAAGACGAACTGCAGCAGCCCGCCGTCCAATTGAGAAATCGAGAGATCCCCTTCAAACCGCCAAACCCTAGCTAGGACCGTCCTCAACGTGTGCAACGGAGGCGAAGTTCCAATCACCAGCCCAAGCAGTGTCAAATCGACGCGCGCCACTCCAGCCGCCATGTCGTCATCGTTGAAATGGACTACAACCGCCATGATTGCCGAGATAGGACCTGCGGAAACAGCAAGCAAGCCACAAGATACTAGATCAAAGGGACAGATGATGGTCCCAGATTCGAATCGAGGGGGATTTATACACTCCAGAGCCCCAGGGATCGGGCTCCGGCACCGCACGACGGCGGAACGCCCGGAACGGCGCATGCGCACGATGGCGGTTACCAGGTCCACTTCGCACGAAGTTGAGAGCACGACCTGGGAATTTTTTTTTTTTTCAATCCCCTTTCGCGTATGTACTTAAGTGATTGGTTAAAACTTAAAACTAACAAATTCCCACGTCATAAAAAATCATTCAACTCTTGCCACGTCAGAGTCAACTAATGGTTGACCGGACGGAAAGTTAACAGTTTGGCTATTATTTTATGGTGTTGAATAATTACATATTTTGTGTTGAGTTGAGTTTTTCTTAAGAATATCGCCACCTCGATCCAATCCAATTAGAAACAAATCTTAGGATTTAAATTTTTTGGATAGGTTTGAATATAATATTTCCCAAACCATAATACATAAATCCGATGATTAAAATGACTAAACTCCGGCCTTACTTCCACTTACTGATAGTCCTCTTGTCAGTTGTCAGTCGCACTCTCCGTCTCCGACTCTTTTACTTGCTGTCTAATGTCTATCACTGTCACAGCCAAGGAACGCAGACTGCACGGAGCCCAGTTCTCCGCTCGTTAAATCGTAGCCGGAGCTCTCTCTTTCGTTAGCCCTCACTAGGGTTTTCAGTCGAGGCGAGGGAAAGAGGAACCCAAAAAGGGGAAAGAATGGAAGGCGTGGGGTCTCGGCTCGGCCGCGCGTCGTCTCGGTACGGCCCGTCAGCTACGGCGAACGTGTTCAACGGTCCGGTGAGGAAGTGGAAGAAGAAGTGGGTCCACGTTTCTCCACCTCCGGCCGCTAATAATGCCAGCTCGCGCGCTCACTCCAACGGCCATCACCTCCACAGCGCCGCGATGAGCAACAGCAGCAATAGCGACAGCTCTCGCCTCTTGCTGTGTCGATGGACCCCTCTCGCCGCCGGAGGAGGCGCAGGCGATGATTCTTCCGCCGCGGACGAGCCTCCAAAGCGGAGAATCCGCTACACTCCGGTGAGTATGTCACTGTTTCTTCAACCTTCTGTTATTGGCCTTGCTTTCTGCTTCTTGTTATACTTCTCCGCTGTTTGGTTCTTCTTTTCTATCGAATTTTGGTGCTTCTAGGGTTTCAATTCAGCTGCTGCAGATGGGGTTGCTTCAGCTGTAAGCCAATTGGATGTGGATTATGATTGTTTTTGGGTGGAATTGTAGATTGCAGCGCTGGAGGAGAGGACGAAGGCAGCGAAGAGCGTTGATGTTGAAGTCAAAGAAGATCAGATTACTGAATCCAAGGCTTCCGAGGATGACGAGCCGGAGGATGATGATGAGACTATGAAGGAAGAGACACAGGTATCACTTCACTAAACCCTTTGTATTGGTGGGATGGGGTGGGCTAGTTTTTCCGCCTTGATTTTGACTGGTATTTTGGCTTCTCCCCTTGTTTGTTTCTTGCTTTGACATCTCCTTAGTCGTACTGGTTGCGAAATGTTTGCTTTTGTGACAAGACCAACTACATGGATGATGTGGAAGAAGAAGAAAAAAGATCAGGAGAGGGGCAATGAGATGCAATTATCATTTGGTGAACTGGGATTGTGATAACTAAACAGATTATACTTAGTGGGAAGCTCATGTATTTCCAGTTTTGTATTCCTCTGTCCTGTGAAATGACTAGGAGTCAGGAGCCAAATCCTACTGCTTTGAATCGGTCAGCTTAGGTTTTTGTTATAGTGAACAGTAGAGATCAGCTGCATGCTCTGCAAAATGCAAGTAATTGCGCTGGTTTTGTCCAAACTGTTATATGCTAGGGTTGCATGTAGGCATGATGAGTGGAAGATGTGAGATAGTTGGCAGTTTACAGCTTGGAACATAACTTTCACTTTGACTTGGGGTCAATTTCATGGACTTTTCTCTTTGCTACTGGTTTGATTAAATCCAGAGGAAACATTTGGTGAAGTTCGTGCATTACTTCTTGGGAATCTGACAATCTATTAAGCTTGATCAATATCTCGTCAACTTAGGTTTGTTGCATAGAACAGCAACAATGTAGAGTGAATCACTCCTGAGGATACATGCATGCATGATGCAACGGTCAAGCATCTGCTATTCTCTGATATGAAAATCCTTTCCACACTTGTCTAGAGGTTGATTTTTTCTGGTTTCCCAATTTTCTGCTTTTCAGGATCCGGACAATGGTGGTACGCTGGACCTGGGGCTGTGCCTGAAAGGCGAAGACAATGAGAACAATGAGTCCCCCAACCAGCACAAGGAGGAAGCAATGGAGGAAGCGAATTCAAGCAGGGCATGGGCGTTTGGTTAAGCACCAGGAAGCTGGGGATGCCATTTCAGAAGGTAGTGAGGGATCAATTATGGCAGTAGCAGTAGTAATAGTCTCATCAGTAGGAGAAGACTCAGAGACCCATGATTGTATCGTATTGTATATGGCTTGTAGTTCTGTGTTACCAACCTGCCTAGGCAGAAACTGGTTGTAGTTCGTCATTGTCTATGTTGTTTGGTGTTAGTATGTATCCGTCCAAGGTCTCGAGACATAAGGTCTCGAGACATACATTCACTGATCCCTATGTAAGTATCGTAGTGGGTGCGCATAATCTTAGTTTCCAAATTTCAACTGTTTCCAGACTTGTGGCACATCAACAGCAGCATGGCTAACATGATAGCAGCCCTGGTTGATCTAGAACCGAATGTGCAAACCCTGTTGCTGCAAAAGGACGAAGTCAATTCTTGCTTATTGTATACGACCTCAGCCATACCCTCATTATGCTCGTAAATCAACGAGTTACAATTGTGTATATGCTAATGCTATCGTGTTTGATTAGCGAGTAAATGGGGAGGGTAAGAACAAAATGAATCTCTCTTCAGCATATTGGGGAAGGAAGCACATAACCAACAACCCCTAAAATCTACAACATTTCCGGTCACCGTGAGAAGTATCTTCTCATCATAGCTTTCGAGCATCTTATAAATTATCCCAGATAAATGAAACAGACACGTGAATGCCTGAAGTGATGTAGAACACCGGATGACAAGAAGGATTTCTCCCAAGAGTGTGCCTCTTTTTATCATAACAATTGAATCAGTTCTCCTAAGAGTCGGCCTCTGCTGTTTGAGTAACACCGACTTCTGCTGGTCGAATCACCCGTTCATGGAGCATGTATCCTGGCTGCATTTCAGAATACAAAAGATAAGAAACTCAGAAACTCAGTTCTGCAGAAAAAGGTGGTCCTATAATGACACTCCTAAATTAGAGACAACTTAGCACATGTCACTCATGCAAGGAAACTACATACACATCAGGAGGAAGCAGTCAAAGTTATAAAAAAGAACGTTAGAATTCACTCCATTAAAAAAAAAAAATCAACCCATCAAGTCCCATTAAGATGCCAACACTCATTTTGGACATCGAACAAGCTGAGAATTCATCCTTGCGTAGTATCCAAAACTTAATATGCCAACAGTTTTACTGCACCCCCTTAGTAAAAGCTAATTAGGTCCTTGAGCATCAGCAAAATGTTTGCACACTCCTCAGTTATCATAGCTCTTGCATAATATCCACACCGTTACTATTTATACAAACCTGAGTCCCTGATCAAAGAGAATATATGCAAGCAAGATGCAGCCATGTCAATTATACAAATGAACACATTTACTCCCACAATGTTTTAAGTGAGAAATTGTTGCAATTGGAATATTGGTGTTAAGAAGGAACTCAAATCTGAGAACAAAATAGTAATATGTATTGCTGGTTATCAATTTAATAATAGCATAGCAACTAGTTTGAGTTATTGTAGTACCTTCAGAACGTGAGCAACTGTGCCTGGAGGTTTAGAAGCATCTGGTACTTGAAACATAGCATTATGCCTATGTGGATCAAAAGGCTCATTTATTGGATCAAATCTTTCCAGACCAAACTTCTTAAATACCTGTCATTCGTAGAGAAGAACAAAATAAAATGTCAACAATCAAAGATAAACAAACATCAATCAGAGAGCCATATGATGTTCCAAGGAAGTACAGATCATACCTCCCCAAGTTGTTTCTCCGTCATATCAACTCCTTCTGAAAGTGACTTCACAAGTGGCACGACTCCAGCACTATCTTTAGATGTATCAATCTTGGCAAAACTCTCTTTGAACACTGAAGAAGCCCTTCCCAAATTATCCGCAACATCCAACAGACCTTTCGCGAAATTCTACAGATACATACACACAAAGATTGATCAAAATGCGCAAACCAAAGACGGGAAAAGAACTATGTATTTGAATTAAAACAAAAAAAAAGACCTGAATGGCAAATTTTTTAGAGTTCTTCGCTTCACGTTTAGTCCTTTCCATGACATTCTCATTCTCTGCCAAGGCACGGAGAAACTTATCTTTCATCGTATGGAATTCTTCCTGCTTCGACTTCAAAAGTTCATCCTTCTCAATAACAAGCTTCACCAAGTCATCTCTGGAGAGATCAGCAGCATCCTCGTCCGAATCTGAATCAGAAAATGCAGTTCGATTAGTACTACCCCTTCTCCTTTTATCACGCACAGGCTCAGTTGCTTGAGATTCTGGATAAGAACCTGGCTTTTTGCTCTCTCCTGAATCTTCTGAATGGGTACCTGAGTCCGCATCTCCGTTTATTTTCCCTTGACCATTGCTCTCTGTAGCACCTTGTTCCTTTTCTGTTGGCTCGGGCGACGCAGATGAAGCAAATCCAAACTTCCCAAAGGGAAAAGAATTAGAGGCTGATTGATGAAACCCAGACACCTGAGTTACACCAAACAAAAATAAGCCAGACATAGATAGGATTTTATCAAGGTAATCCAATTCAAATTTCTATCTGAATTTGAACATGATTATAATTCAAAATTGAGCCAAATACATTGATTTCACCTAGCAGAATCCTAATGCTACAGGATCTAAATATCTCGTTTGGAAAGTCACTTATCATCTACTTTAACAATTGTACAGAAGCTTCACACTGATAAAGAAGGCGAACAAAACTCAAGAACTACATCACCAAACAGGAATAGAAACAACCCAAAACCTGGGCACCTGGCATTACTTGCTACAAGACATCATATCACTATCAAGGGGACAGCATAAACTACGTTCTTTAGATCGATGTCTTCATTGTAGACCACTTTTTTGACAGGAAACATAGAACACGAAACCTTCACTAAATAAAACGCAAGCCAAAACAGTTTCTATACACAGATCCTTTATTAATGCCAGAAGGTCCGAGCCTCAAATTTAAACCTCAAAACCAAAAGTCCGCTCCTGAAACCATTACCACCGGCCCACCAGCCACCCACTATTGAAAGAGAAATAGCACATGAATGGCGCTCAAGGAATGAAGTTGAGAGCTAAAATAAAACAAACGCAATTCAAAGTTACAATCGAAACTAGGAACAATTATTCAGTTAAGCAAAATCCAACCAGTAATTCAGACGAGGTTCTTAAACCCTAGCAAAACCCCGAAGCCAAAAATTCAACTAAAGAAAGAAAGGGGGAAAGTTTTCGTCTACGCTACTCACATGCTCGAGACCCTGATGAATAAGAGGCTGAACTCCATTGCAGATTACTGGAATCTGTTGCTGTTTGGTGGAGGCAGAGGAGAGAAGAAGCAGGGAGCGTCGGGCGCCAGCGTTCCCGGAGACGCGTGACAAAACCCTAGACAACAACATAGTGATTGATTGACGAAAAGGCCGAACGAGATGGTTGAAAGAAACCGGAGATTAAACTGAACCGCCGCGAGATTGAGGAGCTGAGAGAAGTAGAAGAGAGGTGTATGGCCGTTTGGGGGTTTTGAAGGGGGAAGTCAGAAGTGTTTGCTTGGAGGGGAAGAAGGGTTTATCGTGACTCGTGAGAGACGAACACGAATGGTGGGTATGGCGGGGTGTTTAAGGGCCGTAATTACCGTGGTAACCTTAACTTAAGTGGCTTAATGAATCGTTACATACTATTGTCAATCGGTTTATATGGTTTAACAAGTGAAATTGTTGGGGATTTTTCCAAGAAACAACACTTTTTTTTTACAAAAATAGCAACCAATCTCGAAAAATTCAAAAAATAGCATCCTTTCTCGAACGAATCTTTCACTTGTTAAACCATATAAACGGGGTGACAATAGTATGTAACAATTCATTAAGGGGTTGTTTGCTTCGTTGATTTGGATGATGGATTTGGTACATAAATTCAATCCATCATGGATTTAGAAAAATCCATCATTTGTTTGCAATTTTTGTAAGGATCAAATCCGTGGGACCCACGAATTTGAAGTGTCCAAATCCGTGCACCCCACGGACTTGTAAATCCCTAATATTGATGCGTGATTTGTTACATGCCACAAATCCATGATGGGATTTTACCCATCTGCCCTTATGAAATTTTAATATTTCAAGATTTACCTCACCTTTACCTATTTTACATTATAACTAGTTTTATTGCTCGCGCTCCGCGCTGGGATTTGAGATTTATTTGGCAAAATAGACCGGATGTGTTTGGAGATCAATATATGTTTTACTACAATTTATGTTGTTTCATGTTGATTCGAGTAAATTTCATTCCTAGTGCAGAAACCTTGAGGTAAAAGCCTTGAGCAACTTATTGGAACAAATCAAGTTACAGTTTGCTGCCTAATTATCTACCGAGGTAATACTCAAAAACAAAAAATAATTATTACAAAAAAATGTACATATGTAGGATCAATAAAAGAGTGGATATCCAGATGTCCAATGCATAATATGTTTCTTATTTTACTCTGTTCTCACAAAATAAAAGAGCAGATATCCATGTGTCCAATGCATAAAGAAACTATTTCTTCTTCTCCTCTGTTCTCACAAACCTTCGTCCCTTTCCTGTTAAGAGAAAATAAATCATAGACACGATCGGTATAAAAGGATACATGAACGCCTTACATAATCAGTACAGACCAATTAAAATGAAATAACTGTGGCATACCAAGAAACTGAGTGACCAACAGGTATACCAATTACTCAATTAGAACGTGGGATATGGTAGGTTTAATCGTTGCAACTGTCAAAAACACTCATCAAAACCAACCGAGTATCCAGATAGAGAGCCATACTAAAGGGATTTCACAGAATACCAACCGTGATTGGCTAGTATTTTCATTGGAGACCAAGTCTCGTCAACCAGCAGAACCATATACTTCATTTTCCATTCGGACCACAAATCTCCTAAATCAAGACCTATAACATCAAAGAGAAATGAAAACTTAAAAAAGAAAATGCTTACTCCACCTGAAGAATTCCATGCAGTGTTATTAAAGCCGAGCCGAGCCGCTCGGCCCGACCGGTAAAACCGCCACCCGGTCACAAAATCAGTTCAGAATAGTCTAAAAGTCGTTCCGGTTTTATGTAGCGGTTGACGAGCGGCCAAGGTGGTTAACCGCTCGAGCCGTTCATCCGGTTTTTGCCATTCAGCCGTTAAATTTAATTAAAAAAATTGCAGAAAATAAAAAATCGAAATAAACCAAAAACGTCGGGCTCTCAAACTGAATCCTTATTTCCATTTCACAATTTCGAAGGAAAGAGACGAGCTCTGATTAAGAAATGTCCACTATTTATACTAATAACGTTTATTAGGTACCGGTTCTCTAACGGTTTTTAAACGGTCTAATGCCGGTTGGACCACTAAAGTGCGAGCCGTTCGCATTACCGGGTCATGCTCCGGTTCGGTTCTAACAACATTGCTTCCATGAATATCTTTCACCAAATCCGAAAACAAAAGAGCCACGAAATTAAATTCAGCTCCACGAAAGGACCTCAAATACTAAAAGGAATCCGCCAATGAAATAGACTCCAATAAACAAATTAATTAGAAAGGTAATGTTTGAAGACAGTAAAAGCAGGAAAGAAGCCACCTACTCTAACGACTTATTTACCAAGAGTTCAGAGCAAAAATAATCAGAATCCACCATGGAGACTTGGTTGAGCACAAATGAAGCATGAATAAGCAAGGAAAGGATGAGCAAAATCGTTTAAGTTACTGGAAAAATAAGTAAATCCACAATTTGCAAAAATAAGAAAGAAAGAGGCTACCCAAAATCCAATTAGCAGAAACCCTTAAAAAAGTAAGAAAGTCGCATCAAAGCGAGAGAGAAATAGAGCGGATTACTCAACGCGAGTGCAACTAAGGTTCTCTCCAGCGGAGGCAGTCGATTCTCGTTTTTCGTCACCGGAACTCCACGATCCCTGGTGGCTTTGAGGATCTCCGACAAAGAAATTGAAGCACAACAATGCATCTCTGTTGCCTAAGCCGGAGAAGAAGTAAGGGCTTAAAAACATAGATTGGAAAGAACTAAAGATTGAACATAGATTGAAAAGAACTAAATAGCATACCTGTTGGCTTTCATCCTACCATTATCACAATCGTAAATCTGGGATATTCGACACCCGATTCTCCCGTCATTGCCCTGGAAAATCTGAGAAAAATAGAAAAACAATGAGCTACTCACAGCAAAGTAAGGAAAAAAGAGTATCGAGATGACTTAATGAAGGGATTCTGGGTGTTTACGGGAATTCTTGAACCCGAATCGGACCTATAGCACCAGATTGTCTCCTTCATAGAACATATTGAAGAACTGACTTGCGTTGCGGCAGCTTCAGTAGTTGTTGTAACTCGGTCGCCGATGTTGGAACAACCGATAAATAAAAGCAAAAGAAATTATTAACGCTGAAATCGCCTCCACAAAATAACGAAGGAAGAAAAATATAAAACCAAAAGAAGCTAATCTATCAATACCTAGCTGCCGAGAGACTTCTCTCTTGATCGCCACTTCTCCCAATAGCTCCGTCCAAGTTCACCATCACAGCAGCTTCAATTGGTGAAGAATTAATCTGCGAACAGAGGAAGCTCGGAATTAGAGAGAGAAACTGGAGCAAATACAGAGACATAAAGAAAACTGTATTGAGGTAAAGAAGAGGCATAGGCGAGAAGGTAATAAGTGAGTGATGGGGTCTCGTGTCCATGTCTGCACCATAAACATGTGGTGGAAATAAACCCACCCAAGCTAACAACTTTTTCTCCCGGTCACTCGAGTGCAAAAGTGACGTCTGACTGACATGAAAACATGGAAAGGCACACCTAGCCCATTAAGCACCTACCACAGTCTTCCTCTAACCGGATACACTTATCGATGAAGCAGCAAAACCAAGTAGGCTGCCTCTCCTTTTCAGAGCAATCACCGCGTGCGATAGTAACGAAAAGAGTCCCTAACCAGAAGCTAAACAATAGTTCAAACGCGACTGAACCATCAAGTTGAGTTGGGAACCAACTAGAACTTCCCTGCACCTGCCCACACTCAATCCCCTTCCGAGTTGAAATAGTATAAATGAGTCACAATGTATAGTAAAAGGTATCTTGCTGCACAGGAAATGGCTATGTTGTAGGTTTTCTTTTTTCAATTAATCAATTAATTAACAACAAACCAATAATATAAATATTCAAAAAATTGCAAACATGAGATAGATTATCTATGCCCATTTTGTGTTGTAGTTTCCTTTGATCTTTTCCTGGAACGTGAAATTCTTTGTTCTCCCGATTCTAATATATACTGCCATATGTTACTTTTGAAATGGAAGACAAGAAATTGGTAACTAATATAAGTTACGTTAAAATTGAACATAATTTTCTTGTTTACTATTATTATACTCGTGACAATATATACTTTTTAGTATGTATTGTCCTTGTTTGAGTACATATAAAAAATATGATAAACAAATAGAGAAGGGTAGTAAGGTAATTTTGAGCTTTACTTTCTAAATCCCAAACCCTTCAATCCATGATCATGAATATGATAAACATTTTAACAAACAAAGGATTGTTTCAAATCTACAATGCCTCAAATCCTTGGGTTCTTAAATAAAAAAACCTTCATTTTTAAATCCATGAAGCAACCGACCGCTAAGTAACCACCTCTAGTGCTAAGTGCTAACCACAACTCAAAGGCTAAAAGAGCATTTTAACCTCCTTGTCATTTTCTTTTTAGCTGGGGATGTGGACTTACTCACAAGAGGCTCTTCGGCGGCGGTTGTTGTTAAGCAAAAGGTTTGGTCTTCCCAAGAACATTCTTTCGATTCAGCAACTCATGAGATTCCCCTTAGTCGTAAGAGTCTCTGGCTTTCTTCAAGAGATTAGGGATTTCATATGCGACTATGTCATCAATAGCTTGGATCATCTTGGGCTTCAACCTCGGGAACTTGGTAAAGTTGCGTCCCCTTAAAACCTCCTTGAACTGCTCTACATTTGGGAAACACCTGAAGCTAAGTGAAAATCCTTCTGAACCTATAAAAAACATTCAAGGTCGACTGGTGAGCTTGTGGCGCAAGCAATGAAAAGGTCAATTATTTTGAGGCATTTAGGGAGAGGGAGACCTTTAAAAATTCGTCTGCTAAATTATCAGTTAGTCTTCGCTGAGCCTCTGCTTTACCTATCATGAATGGCATCTCCTTTTTAAGGTGGCCAATAATGTGAGCATATATCTTTGCAGCTCTTGCGCGCTTCACAAATTCGTTGATCTGTCACAAGCAACCATCATTAGTTATTCCTTTACACCTAAAACTCAACCTAAATGATTATATCCAATCCAGAAAACGATCTTCGCTAAAGTAAAAGACTTGCAGTATTTATAATGGTTGATATGGTTGTGAGATTTGTGTGGCATTTAAGGCACTCGGTAAAGGTTGGAATAAAGGCATATAGTTTGAACAACGATTATGTAACATCCGTGAACCAGGTCATGTCTTAAAACCTGCAAAGAGAGACAAGGAACTCACTTTGTGATAAAAAACCTTCTTAGGTATATATTTTATATCGGAGAGAAGGTCAGACTGGTCCGTCTCGATCATCTTTTTCCCAAGTGGCCCAACAATATTTTCATCTATTGGGTTGTCTTCGAATGAGCTGCCAACCAATGAGAAGAATCAACAGCGTACATAAAGGCAGCACTGATAAGGAACAAGATAGCAGTACATAATCTTGAAACAAACTACAGTCAGCTGTGCAACACAATGGAGGTACATAAGAGCATAACAAGGCAATAATTTGTTCTTAAGAAATCAAAAACATGAAATGAGCTCGTTTTTGGTGGAGTCATTCCCAAAAACTACAAGCCTAGCTTGTAAAGATGATCTACTTCTAGCTACAACTGGCCACAAAATAATATTGTTACCAGCACATCTCTTGTAATCTTGTAATTAGGTTGATCTTTTACGTTCTAATTTTTGAGAATCTTGTTATCTTCTGCCAGCTAGCAAGTGTACTAATTACAAGAGATCTACCTAAGTGTACTAATTACAAGTAGCTACAGATTCCAATGATCTACTTCTAGCTACAACTAGCTTGTAAAGTTTTCTACTACTTAGGCATCAAGTTCATCATTAGCTACGCTAATTTCATACCAGATTCAATATATACTAGTCTACAATCCCAACCGAAGGCTCTATAAGTGAATATGAATCAAGAAACATAACTACGAAAAAACCTGCATTTCTTGTTATGGTGCAGCTGAGCTGAAGTTCCAAATTGACATCACATTATATGTGGTAAAACATATTACTACTAGAAAAGCATACCATGTATAGACACGGATAGCTTCAGGAGTACTGAGGACTCTCGCCAATGACCACAACAAGGTTCCATGAACTTTTATTAGCTGCAAAATAGATAACAAGTGAATTACAATACTGGACAGACAATCTAATACAAGGTACTTGGAAGCTTTCTTACTAGTTCTTTAACAACTTCGTCTACCCTGCTCAAAACTACCCTGATCTTGTTATCATGCCCGTGTAGAGATTAAATGATGCACTTCAACTCGTGGCTAAGAAAAAGTGTGCGATAATCAAAGAGAAGGAGGATAAGATCACACTTGGATGCGAACCATGACATCACACTAGCAAAATCATAAGACCGTTCGATTTGTTGCTCACCAGACACTCTAGGTGTGTCTACAAATGTGATATGCTCCAGCAGCTTCACCAAAAGAAAAAACCATGTCTCACACACTAAAAGCATGGTCCATGAAACCGTATCGTACCGGCGGTTCAACCACAAAATACCAGTATCGGAGGCTAAATCGCTAGACTGTATTTAACGGTATTAACAGTTGAACTACGGTTAAACCACGGTTTTGCCGTAAAATACCCTACCGCTGACTTTTTCGGTACGGTGTCCGGTACGGTTTCATGGACCATGACTAAAAGGTGACCTGAAGATAGCATCATCCATCCTAATATAGTGAGGGACTTACAGGATGCGACATTTGAGAACATTTGAATTTTGACATAAATTCTTTCCCAAAGGCTGTTATTCCATAGAATGGCATGTCTGGCTGACCCGCAATATTATTGCCTGGAATAGTTTTATCATCTGGTCCAGACTGCATAAGAAGCCACAGGTGTAAACCTATCATCTCAACAATTGAATGGGTAATAGATGAAATGTCAATTTAGCTAGCAACACAAACGCCAAATACATAAAACATTTTACATTCTCCTAGTTTCGTGCCAAAGCATCTATAGAAGTTAGATTTATACAAATAGATCTCTGAAGCATTAAAAGGGAAAAATTAGGAACACCAGAAAGCATTCAATACAGAAAAGAAAGATCAAACTCCTGAAACATGTAATGAAGTTTTAAAAGCCTGATGCTAAGTTGTAAGGGTAGCTTCTCTGAAATATAAAGCTACAAACTTTCAAAGAGAGGACAAGAAAAAAAAAATCCACAGCCCATGCAATGCTGCCTCATAACTCCTAAGGACTTAACAGGAACTTGAACTCAAGATCAGAACTTTTGGGGTCAGACAAGAGAATGACTTGCTAAAGACGAGCTATTTATACCCAAGAGTAAGCAAAACATGCACACAGTCAAATTTGTTAAAACATAAAGATATGAAAGGGCTCTCCCAGTACCATAACTGCCACAAAACTGTCCGTGGTAGGTTCAGTTCCAATACGAGCTCCTGCAGGAAATCCCAGGAAAAAGGGAATAATACTTAGTAGAGGGAAAATGAAGCCTTCAAGAGACCGCTCCAAAGCAAACCAGTCTAACTTGGATAACTATGTTTAAGTAGATGTTTTATGAACGTTGTTTTGCTTGTGGAGTACTGACCCAATACCATAACCATGGGTTTGGCATCAAAATCATTATTTGTCTGCAATAAACAACACATCAATAAGATATTCCGATCATAAGTTAGAAAGGTTTGAATTATCCAAAAACATGCATTTGAAGACATATCAAAACTATGAGTGACATTTGTACTAACTAATAGTGGAGATACAAAGCCATTATATCCATAAGTAACTTCCAGCTTTTGACGATACAACTTCTTCAAACCATCAATTATGGATTTCTCGGAGGAAGGTGAGACCTGACCATTGCATGATAATCAATGCATAAGAAAATGGAAGGGGTCAAGGACAGTTGTTACGATGATCTACTGAAGAAAACACAAGCGTAACATGGATATCAACCAAAAACATATATGCAACTTAGAGATGCAGAAATACAGCTGGAAGAGGATTGCATGAATCATGAACGCTAGGAGCCAAAACATTAGATATCCATAGATCCCCTTCAAAGGGATTCCGAGGAAAAGACAGTGACGCATGAGTAACACGCTTTCTCAACCACTACTCAAAGACAGTTCAAGATCCAATTAGAAATTGAGGAATGGAGGTTATCCAAAGACAACACTAGTCAGAAAATCCGCCTTCATGGGAACCCTTGAATACAAAGGGATTGTATAACAGTATCTAAAAACATAGAACCTTCAGGATAGCCATGCAATTCAACCTGCTGAACCACTTGACACTGCTATAGATATAAGGTCTACATGGGAGGGATAAGCACTTAAGCTACAGAAAGCAAGCGCACAATTTCTCCTTAATGCAATTGGTACGATAATCTTGAGCAAAAACTATCTCAGTACCTTTGAAAAAGCTAATAGCATCACTATCACAAAAGAAGAACAGTCCAACATAATAAATATGTACAGTTGGAACAAAACAAACCTTCTTTGCAGATTTTAAAGAAGGAAACCAACGTAACAAAGGTGATGTTTCAACCTGAGGAGTACCTGCATTTTCACCAATCAATGTCAGCATACAAGCATAAACCAGGGCACAAACATGCATCACTACCAGATTTCCTCACCATTAGCATCAAAATCACTTGAGCTGGAGGTCGACATGTTTCTCTTATGCCCAAAAACTTCTAATGCCTAAGAAAGATCCACTGGAAATCGAAAGATCCACTAGAAATCTCAATAAACTTTATAAATTTATGTGATACTTTGTCACTTTTGCTGTAAAATTGTAATAGGTCACAAAGGTTATGCAGATAAAACATTGATTCTAAGGTATCCATTAGGAAACTATATACGATGTTTATAAACTAAATCTCGAGTCAATTACAGTAATTATGCCTAGCAGAATCCTAATGATAGAAAGTGGGAAATTTCTCTATGCTACTCACGTGCTCGGGAAGCAGAGGCTGAACCCCATTGCAGATAATTGGAATCTGTTGCTGCTTGGGGAAGGCAGAGGAGTGAAGAAGCAGGGAACGTCGGCCGCCGGCATTCCCAGAGACGCGTGGCTAAACCCTAGACAAGAACATGGCAATCGATTGATGAAAACGTCGGACGAGAGGAGGAAACAGAGTAGGCATGAGATTGGAGAAGAAGAAGAAGAAGAGAGGTTTGAGGTATTTGAAGGGAAATTGGATTTTGTTGCTTGGAGGGAAAATCTGTTTGTGGCACTAATATGGTGGCGGGTTTTGACTGTAAATCTGTAATTACCCGTCACAGCCATACGGTTTCTAAACAACCATTTCGTGTACAATGGTCCGTCCCTTAATCACATGACTAAGTCAATCTCAGCCATTGAGTCTCATTTAAATCTGAGGATTGTAATTGATCTCATTTAATGAAGGGTAATATAGTAACTGCAGATTTATTATTAAAAATTAAAAAAATCTTTCTGGATTTTCCCACCGTTTGATTGCGACATACGAACAACCGCTGTCGAATGCTGGATTTTCGGCTGGTTTTTCATCCCGGTGTCCCTGTTTGGATTCCGCCGTCCAGGGATTCCCGTAAAACTACCGGCAGTGCGAGGGATTTTGCATCCCTTCCCCATTTTGGTTTTGTGTCGGCTACCCACACACCCAGAGAGAGAGAGAGAGAGAGAGAGAGGGAGAGATAAAGAGAGAGATATTTTCTGTGGATTTTCCGGCAACGGTGGAGGAGTTCGGCGAGCAGAGCCCGCGGAGACTGATTTTCTGGCGACAGTGTTGGATTTGTGATGTTTGTCAACCTATTTTGTAATGTTTACCATTTCGGTTTGTATCGTTTATCATTCTACTTTGTCATTTTTGTCTGTTGTGTTTGTAATGTTTACATGACTAATTTGTATACATTTTGATTTATAATATTTGTTGCTCTAGTTTGTATACTTTTATGTTATGATTTGTATACTTTGTATTCATTGATTTGTAATACAATTTTACCGATTTGTATTGTAAGTAGAGTTATTTTGTAATGTTAGTATTCTTTGTAATGTTTGTCGGTTTCTTCTATAATGTTTATAAGGTTTATTAATTTTGTAATGTTTGTCGGTTTCTTTTGCAATGTTTGTAAGCTTTGTTATTTTTGTGAACCATGTTTGTCATTTTTGTGAACCATGTTTGTCATTTTTTATGTCTAAAAAACAACCTGGTTGACTTTGTAATGTTTGTTCGTCTTATTAATGGTTTACACTATAGTTTGTAATGGTTATCAATCTGCTTTCTAATATTTATAGGGCTGATTTGTAAACATCATGCTTTGTAATGAAAATATAGTGACAAAGTACCCAAAAACATACTAAGAGTACAAAGTATGAGTACTTACAATACAAAATGACACGACTTACATCACAAATCAATACATATAAAGTATACAAATTAATATTACAAACCATACAAATCACACTGACATTATTTACAAAAATACTAACAATACAAACCGACAACACTTGCAATACAAATCACTGTTCTTCCCTCTCTCCACCGTTTTCGCCGCCGTCGACTCTCTCTCCACCGATGCTGCTGCCGACTCTCTCTACTGCCGTCACCACCTCTCTCTCTCCATCATTGCGCCACCTCTCTCTCTCCACCATCGTCCCTCTCTCTCCCCCCTCTTTTTCTCGACGACGACGACCGTTGCTGCCTCTCTTTATCTCTCATCGCCGCCTCTCTCTAATCCATCATTGTCGCCGCTGCCGTTCTCTGACAATCCGCCTCTGGCGGCGTTTCTCTCTCCTCCACCACCATCGTGGACATCACCTCTCTCTCCTCCACCTTCGTCGCCGCCATCTCACTCTCCATCGACGTTGTCGCCTCTCTCTCCTCCACCGGCGTTGCAATCTTTCTCCTCCGCCATGTCTCTCTCTCTCTGGACATCACAAGAAAGGGGAAATGAGGAGACTGTTGGAGAGGAAAAAATAAATGAATAATAACAAATAAAACAAAATCGAAATCAGGAATTAATGAATTTCTAATAATGCCAAAACTACTCTTCTATTTAATAATAATTCATCACTTTATCTGGACCATTAGATCAATCTAAAGGCTAAGGTGGGCTTAGTCAAGTGGCTAAGGACCCCCCTAGTCACCAGATCCGGACTCCCGGAACACTTGCTATAGGGGTTGAATGAGAGAATAGTAAGAGCATCCACATCAATGAAATTGTAAAACTAATTTCATATTATTTATATTTTTTTTCAAACATTAGGCAATCCAACTCACTTTTATTGCATTGCTCTTACATCAATGCAATTCACTTGCAATGACATATATGAGAGTTTAAATGAATTTATAATTACTAGCTTAGACCTTGCGCATTACGCAGTTAGCTCTAGTATTGGTTTTATTGTTACTGTTGTTTTGCCGTTAATTTATAATGTGTTCAGTTAAAAAGCATATACATCACTTATGTCTATATTTGGATTAAAATGCTTTCAACAATAGGAGTCTATTTCAAGCGGAATAAGAGGTAGAACTTAGAAGCATTAGACTATAAGAGGTATCTGGTGAGAGAAAATAAGAAAAACTGTTTTCAGAATAACAATGTCCCGTAACAATGTCCCCTAACTGAGCAATATGAATCTGTGAAAGAACGTATAAAATTAAAAATATAAAGTGGTAAAGTACAACTTGAACGTATTGGGTGGAAGAATTCCAGTTGTATTGTCGAGTTCTTTTGTTGGGGTATCATCAGTCTTTTACCTTTCTTGGCCATTTCAGTTGTAGGAAAGGATATGAGTTGACGAGGACAACAACAAAACCGGGAAAGTACACCAACTGAAAACATGTTAAATGTTTTAGCCCAGGCAAAGGATATTACTAAGAGTTACTAAAGCAATTACAACTATCAAATTAGAAAGAATCGAAACTAAACTAACGCAGGAGGGCTAAATCTTGATTACCCACAATGAGGTCCGTTTGACAGTGGAGAAATAGTAGGAGTGGTCAGAAGGTTATTAGGAGTTTAGGACCCTTCCTTGGAAGGTTCAATAGGCAATAGTCGCCTATGTTATGCACTTATGCTGGTGTGTGTTTCATGGTGGATTGATGAGTAGTTGCTTATGACTATGTTAGCTATGTTTGGAGTCAAAACTCTAAATTACGTCACGGTAACTGGTAAATTAAGGTCAAAGACTACCACAACACCAGCAAATATAAACTAGTGAAGCCAGATTTGAGAAATTTCACCATATGCAATAGCTAATAGTGAATTTAGAAAGGGGAAATAATGTCACTGAAGAGGTAAACAAACTGTTTATGTCTAACTGAGAGTAGGAGTGAGACACGAAGAGATTGGGGTGCGAGTGAGGAGTATGGGAATCATTCAAACACTTAGAGAGAGGAGGTAATCAAGTAAGGCAAGGAGAGAGTTTTAGAGAGAGAAACTTCTTGAATTCTTAGAGTGAGAAAGGAAAAATGGATCACTCACCCACCGGGGTAAATACTCTATTTATAAGCTCCCCTCGGTGGGTGGGTATCTCAGGTGACAAGACATTCGGACAAGACACATAACTAGGGTATAATTAGGTCTACAAGTGAGAAGTGACTGCATGTCAGGGATACGACATCGTCTTGGTCTTCACATTCCGCGGGTCTGTTGGGTCACGCGGATTCGGATCACGAGAGGCTTCCCACGACTTGACCACAGAGATATGCTGTACGACGTCGTCTTGGTCTTCTCTTTTCGCGGAGTTCGCGGGATGGGCGGCTTAGTCCGCGTAATGAATACTGCAATGTTGTGTCCTCGTAGAGAGGGTTGAAATGGGCCCGGAAAGACCCATGGGGTATTACGCGTCCTCTGATGCGTTGGTGGACGCGCTAGAGCCCGAGCTATGCCCCCAAAAATTCCCCCCCATCAGGGGGTATTCCGCGAATGCCGCCTGGTATGAGTTGTGTAAATGCGCAATAGCTCGGGCGTTCTTTTCTTCTTGTTTGTTGCATGCTGAAGATACATTCCGTGAGTGCTCTCCGACACGGGGTGGTTTTTTTCTCTTGTTTTTTTATTTCTATTTTACGGTGTCATTTTTCCATACGCTGGGGTATCATGACCCCCAGGCGGTGCGCAGACTAGTGGGCGGTGCCGCCTTGTCTCTACATTACTGATGCTTGCCCCCCTCATGTCTCTTGGTGTCACTTATCCATGTGGCAGCTTCCTGTTCGCTCGTTGTGGCGGTTATTCCTCGATATTTTGAATTTTGAAATTCAAATTTTTGATGTGACGTTTGCACTTCTCGAGGTGGTTTCGCCCTGTTTGTTCTCTCACTTCAAGGCTTAAAATTAGTGTTTTCGGGGTTTTAGGATTCACTTTTGTCCCCAGCGTTCATCTTTTCTTTGAGAGAAAATCCATCTTGTGAGATTCCTCCCCTTCATTTGCAACCTTATTTCTCCTGCTCGTGTCTTCGATCCTTATTTCAATGGCCAGTAGTGCTAACAATGCGGAGATCAAGGTCGTCATCGACGAAGAAGGTAATCTCTCTTCTCATTCTTCTGTTTCTACCGATCCATCTCTGGATTTGGATGTCCGGCGCCGGTGGGAATGGCGGAGCGGTTGCTGGTGGGAATCCGTCGACGCCGTCCTCCTCAAACACGCGTATCGGAGGCTATGAGCCAGCTCGGCCCCCGTTATCT